GCCACCGACCCGCCAGCTCAGCGCGTGCCAGAGCGGGCGCACGCGGGCTCAGGCCCGCCGGATGAACCAATCAATGCTGCGGCGGGTGGCCGCGCCTGCGCAATCCAGGCGCGCAGCGCCGCCAATGCGCGGCGCGCTCGCCGCCCCTCTCCCCCCCTCCCCTCCCCACCGGCCAAGCGTACTCAGCCCTCAACTGACGGCCATGTGACGCACCGCGCCGCGGCGGCGCCAGGGGTGCGCGAGCGTCCAGCAGCCGTCCCGACGGCGCCTCAGCCAAGGCCGTCACCCCGCCCGCGGCCGTCACCCCGCCGTCTCGTCCATGCGCATGACGCCGTCGCCCAGCAGCAGCCCGCCGCCCCCGAGCTCCCCAGGGCCCGGGCTCGGCGCCAGCATGCCGCCGGGGCCGTCGTGCAGCCGCAGGCCGTGATCTGGGTCGTCCACATCGTCCCCCACGCCCCCAGGGCCGTCGCTCAGGAACGCGAGTGTCATATCCAACTCCTCGCCGCCGATGTGGACCGACCCGTTGATGGCAAACGGCGAGTCCGGCCGCTCGGGGTCGCCGAGGCCGCCATGGGCCCCGGCGGCGGCGCCGCCACCGCCGGGGGGCGTGCCCCAGCCGCCGCCGCCGCTGCTGTCGCCGTGCGGCTGCTTGCCCGAGCCGAGCGCCGCGCCGAGCTGCTGCGCCGCGGCGGCCGCGCTGCCGGGCAGGGGGGAGGGCGGGCCCGCGCCAGGCAGGCCGCCGGCGGGCCCAGCGCCGGGGGGCGCGGCGTGAACCAGCTGCATGGGCGCGAGCCCCAGCGGCGCGTGGCTGTACCCCCCATGCAGCCCGCCGAGCGGGACCGCGACCCCGCCCGGCAGCGCGCCCGGCGGCGGCGCCTGGGGCGCCAGCAGGCCGTGCCCAACGCCGTGCGCGCCGCCGGGCTGCCCGACGGGCACCATGCCGGGGGCGCCGCCGCCGCTGCCGCCGCCGGCCAGACCCAGGTTTGGACCTGAGACGCCGCCCAAGAGCGTTGAATAAGATGACGTGGCGGCCATCTCGTCGATGGACTCGAGGCCCCCCATCACGGCCACCGAGTGCGACCTCGGCATCGCGCCCCCGTGCCGCTGCGCCAGCTGCTGCTGCTGCTGCTGGAGCAGCCCGAGCTGCTGCTGCTGGTGGTGCTGGTACAGCGCCTGCTGCTGCTGCAGGTGCTGCTGCTGCAGCAGCATCGCCTGGTGCTGCATGTGCTGCTGGGACAGGCCGCCCTGCCCGCCGGCCCCTTGGCCGCCCCCCAATTCCACCTCGCCCCGAAGCAGCAGGCTGGTGGGGGTCACCGGCACCATGCTTCCCAAGTGGCTCTCGCTGGCAATTCGCGACATGCCCTTGAGGCCGAGCTGCGTCGGCTGCGGCGCAATGAGGTGCTGCTCGCTGCCCACGCGCACGAGCAGCTGCCGCCCCGCGCTGCCGCCGCCGCCGTCGCCGGCGCCGCCCGCGCTGCCGCTGCCGCTGTACTGCTGCAGCAGCGGGCTGCCCTCGCTGCTTTGCTGCTGCTGCTGTTGTTGATGCTGGTGGTGATGGTGGAGGTGATGTTGGTGGTGTTGATGGTGCTGCTGCTGTTGCTGCTGCTGCTGCAGCATGGCCGCCGTGGCCACCGTGTGATGCTGCTGCTGCTGCAAGGATGCCAGGTCGCTGCCGCCCATGCCACCGCCCAAGGCCAAGTTGCCGCATGAGCGGGACCGGTTCATGCCGCCACCGCCACCGCCACCGCCACCGCCGGCCTGCTGACAAGGGCAGTATGGGGGCGCGTGTTGGCGGGCGCTGGGCGCGCAGTGAGAGCGCTCGCAGACGCTCAGAGCGCCAGGCGCGCCTGCCCCAAACGACAATGGCGGCTGCCGGGTTGTTCTAAAGAGCCCTCCGCCCGCGCCGAAAGCAAGGCCGCGGCGCCCCAGGACCCATGCCACTTGGGGAAAACAGCGTCCGTTCTTAAAATCACCGGCGCACCTCAGGCAGTTCTGCGCTCCAGTAGGTTCCCTCCAGCTTCACGCTCGCCATGCCGCCGCCGCCGCCCGAGAAGCCCGCCACCCCGCCCTGCCCAGGAGCCCGCAGCCCGCCGCCGCCGCTGTCCCCAAAATGCGGCGCCCCCGCCTCGCCGAGGCCCGGGAGGCCGTGCGCGCCGAGCGGCTGGGGCGCGGCGCCGGCCTGTGCGTGATACGCATGCAGCGACGGCGTGCTCTGGACGCGCGTCATGCCGCCGCCCGCGAGTGCCACCATGCCGCCACCCATGTGCGTGCCGAGCATGGGCACGGGCCCCATGCTGAATGCACCCATGGGCACCAGCACGCCCGGCGGGGGCCCGGCCGCGCCGCCGGCGCTGAGGATGGCGCCGGGCGCGGCGGAGGCGGCCACCGCCGCGTGGTCGAGTGTAGAGAGCGCCGTGAACGACGCGCTCTTCGGCATCGACGCCGCGCCGCTCGCGCCGCCGCTGACGCCCGCGGCCGCTGCGCCCGCGGTGGGCGTGCAGCCGCCGCCCGTCGTGCCGCTGTGGTCGTGCGCGCCGGAGGGGTCGCCGCTGCTGGTGGTCGCGGCGTTGACGTCGCCGATGGTCGCCAGGTCGCCTGCGCGCGCGACCCGACAGTGCATCGACGCGTCGGCGTGCGCTCTTGAGATGAGGCCAAAAGCATGCCGCCCCGCCGCATGGGCGCTTGGGCTCCGATGCATGCTGCATGCGTCATGCAACCGCGCCATGCAACATCAAGCCGGCCTCATGGCACGCCATGCAGCGGGCGCTCCGCGCGGCGCGGCCCTATGCGGCACACTTTGACGCCCCATGCAGCCCCATGCAGCCCCATGCAGCCCGTGCAGCCCCATGCGGCGCCATGCGGCCCCATGCGGTCCCATGCGCCCGCGCATGGCGCACCCGTGGACACGATGCGCGCCATGCGGTGCTTGGACGTCTTCACGCTGACGCCCTCGTCGTCGTACAGCAGCCCCGCGTCCAGCAGCGGCTTGGCGGTCATGGGCAGGCCGCTCGGGTGCAGCGCGATCGGCTGGTGGTCCTGCAGGGGCGGGGTTGTGGAAAGGCGGGGCCGGGGGATGCCGGGTTGAGCGGAGGCAAAGGTTGAGCGAGGCGCCCGGGTGGGGAGGAGGGCGGCGTTGGGATGCAGTTGAAAATCGCTGCTTCTGGCGACCAGATCGTTGGCCTGGGCGCAGCGTGAGCGGCCGTTTGGAGGCCCTGGATCCAATTTGGAGTGACGACTGGCTCCAATTCAGGGGGCGGCGGCCGCACCTTGGCCGCGCGCCGCAGCGAGTCGGCGACGTCCTGCGGGCACGAGTCCTTGAAGTTGACGTACGACCGCGCGTCCCGCGGCCGCAGGCGCCAGATCGCGCCGTCGTACGCGCGCGCCGCGTCCTCCTCGGAGTCAAACAGCTCCCGGTACGCCCAGCGGCGGTTGAGCACCACCTGCAGCGGGGCGGTCACAAGCCGCGGGGCCCCGCGTGGCCGGATCAGCACCGCATCAGACCGGATCTGGCCAAGCCTAGACATGGCGCCGGCCTCACGCAACAACGCCGGCTGCCAGCGGCTCTTGATGGCATGCGACTGCCTGGGCACAGCGTGGTTTGAGGCGCGCCGCGCGCCCCTAGCTGCACCTTGGCCTCCCAGCGCCCCCTCTTCTTGCCAACTCCGCGGTATTTGCTGCTGCGGTCCATGGGCTTCACACCCAGCGCCCGCTGCAGCTCCTCGCGGCTCAGACCGCTCAACCGCTGCTGCAGCGCCGGCACCTCCTTTGCGTACTGTGGGTGATGAATGGGTTTGGGAGCGTGTGTATTCAAGGGGTTCAGTGGAGAGGTCGTTTGCGCCTTCTTTGTGGGGGGAGGGGGGTGGGCCGGCGGCGCCACGAGCGAGGAGGCCTCAAGGCACACTTGACGCCCGGCTTGATGCAGGGGGCCATAATAGGCCCGCTTCCACACCCCAGCGTGCGCGCCCGATCCGGCGCCCGTGGCCATGCCAAACCCCCCAGTGCATCCGTACGAGCTGCGAGGCGTCCTATTGCCCTGCACCCCAGGCGGTGTGCGACGATCAGGGTAAAAAGTGGATCTCCCCTCCAGACCTGGTCTATGGGGAAGTTAGTCTGAGCGTTGTCCCCGTGGAGGCTGATCGACACCTTGTCGTACACGCGCGCCGCCTCCTCCTCCGTCCGGTAGTAACCAAGGTGCGTCACCTGCGCGGCGCACGACGCGCGGCGCGACGCGGCAAGCCAAGCTGAGCGCTCGGAGCCCTGAGAACCGCGGGCGCCGGCTGCACAGGGCGCCTGTTGGAAGGAACGGCGGTGCCTGCTTCTGTCGCATCCAGCAAATTCCATCTGGGCGAACGCGCTCTGTGGTAGCG